CTTTTCTCATAGGCTAGGCCAGGAGAGAAGCATTTAAGTTGAGCACTTTACAGAAAGTCATTGTTAAAAACTTTAGGCTACTTTACATTGCACTCTGTCATTTTTTTTTTTTTTTTTTTTTTCAAAATAGCTCGGCACAACAACTTTCCTTTAGGTATCATCATTCTCAGAAGTTATTTTTTCTCCAGGATTCATCCCCATCTCTGTTGGTACATTTCTCAAGGCTGGAGAATAAGATGATGCTTCAAAAGCACTGGGTATAACCATAGCCAGCACTTGAGACATGGGTTCCTCAAAATGCCCCATGGGAGCACAGCACACCATGTCTTTAATGTGTGCAAGAATTGCTTTTTCTGATTCTCTGCTGAATGACAGAGAATGTTACCATCTCCCTCTCTGCTTAACACACACACATGTCTAAAACACAGTCATCATCATCCCCCGTTTCCTAATAAATGATATAATCTAAATCATTAAGAAGAAAACTTTTCATTTGCTCCCCAAATGATCAAGGGTGCTAGTTTCTCTCACAGCAGAATCAATTAAGGCATTATTATAAACAACAACGTTTGTTGGTTTTGTTTGTGCCTTAGCAGTCCCTCTTCTTCAGTATTTCAAACACGAGATTCATTGTCTTCTGACTTACAAAGTTTCTAATGAAGGTCTGTTCCGTTCTTATTCTTTTAATTTGTATTTATTTGAAAGAAAGAGTAAAAAATCTTGCATCAGCTGGTTCTCTCCCTAAGTGCCCACAATTGTCAGAACTGGGCCAGGATCCCAGAACTCAATTGGAATTTCCCACCTGGGTGCTAGAGACCCAAGTACTTGAGTTACCACCTGGTGTAGGTCGGAAGGAAGTTCGAATCAGAATCAAGCTGGGCTTGAACCCAGGCACTCCATTGTGGGATTTGGGCATCCTAAGCAGTGTCTCAGTCACTGTGTCCAGCCTCACGCCGGTTGATTTCTAATGTGTTTTTTGTTTTCCTCTTTTAAATGTCTTACTTTATCAGTGATTTTGGAAATTTGAACATGGTTTGCCTTGACATGTTTCTGCTGCTTGGAGTTCACCAAGCTTCTTGGATTTGTAAATTGTAATTTTCAAACACTTGAAAATGCTTCAGCTATGATTTCTTCAAATATTTTCTTCTTTCTGTCAATTTATATTCCTAATTCATATATATGCTACAGATCACTGATGGTTCATTTCTTTTTACAGTTCTTTTATCCTGTAACTCATTTTACATATGTTCTATTATTATGTTAGATTCCATGGCCTTTTTTAAAAATTATTTTCTGTTCATCCCATTCACCATAATTTTTTAAGATATCAGATTTTTAATTGCTTGAATTTGAACTTTGGAATTGTGTCTTGTGCAGCATATTAATTGTTCATTTCTGGTTCTGGTTGTTTGAATGATCTTAATCTTGCATGGGGTCCAAACCTTCTTGTGTGTTGTAGGCCTTTGAATAGAAGCCTGATATGGATTTTAAGTGTCATTGATGCTGGTTTTCATTTAATTCTTTTTGTTTTAGATTTTATTGCGGCATGCAGTTAGATGCTTGTTAAAGCAGATAAGCTTTGTTAATAAGTTCAGGGTGACTCTTGATATAAGATCATGTGAACCTACTGCAGAAGCCACAGTGCTTGTGATCTGTAGATTACAGAATCCATAGGCTTTTCCCTGCGGAAACATGAGCTTGCCTGTCTGCCTAGGCTCTGGGCCTTGATTCAGTTTTTGCTGTTTGACTTTCTTTTCTTCATCCTTCTTCAGGCTTCTCCCGATTGAGGCGCTGCGCCCTTGTAACTCTCTGAAATGTTGATGTTCTGCAGATTTCTTTTTCTAGTGCTCTTCTCTAGAAACTCCCGTCTCCTTGACTTGCCTGCACTTTGACCTCTGTAACATTAATTTGGTAACAGCATCAGGACTATGGGAATCTGTCTCCATGCATGCTGGCCTGAAGATTCCCAGGGATGGTGATCTATGGCAATCTTTGTCCTTACCTCATTGCTTTCCATTTTCTTTTTGATTTTTGGCCTATCTTGTGAATTTTCAGAGTTTGTATTTATTAAGTCAGGAAGGTATTACTGACTTTACTACTTTATCATGGCCAGGAGTAGAAGTTCTGTTTGTCAAACATTTGACAGAAACTTGATTCTGAGAAATTCTGAACCTCAGACAAATTAACAAACTTCATTTTTCTTAGAAGTTCTGCTTAGTTATAGTTGAATTAGTAAATACTGGGTGTGTCACATTTCAGTTATTGATATTATCTTCAAATAGATTGTCCTTAGTATATCAAAATAAGTGGAATTAAAATTGCATCATAGATATTACGGAACAATTGATATAGTATACAAATGGGTTTATTACAATGTCCAGAATGTTTCTAATTTCATTTAAAATAGGATAGAGCCAGTGAATTTCAGTAACGCTTGTGTGGGGATATCTAATATTTGATATTAGTATTTTATCATTAACATAATACTAATTCACTCATTCAATCAGCAAATATCAAGAGATAAATAAGATATACTTTTGAGCTCTTTTGGAGAGTACAGTCTGTAATGACAGACAGATATGCAAGTGAATGTAATATAGTAGGGCTATCACACCATTACAGGAGATCTTCTGTCAGATGGTTCACTCCCCAAGTGACTCTGCAACAGCTGGAGCTGAGCCAGTCTGAAGCCAGGAGCCCGGAACATCTTCCGGGTCTCCTATGTGGGTGCAGGGTCCTAAGGCTTTGAGCCATGCTCTACTGCTTTCCCAGGCCACAAGCAGGGAACTGGATGAGAAGTGGGCCTGCCAAGATTAGAACTGGCAGTCATATGGGATCGTGGCGTGTGCGAGGCGAGGACTTTAGCCACTAGGCTATCACACCGGGCCCCATTATAGGTTAAGGACATTAGTTGAGGGATGTAAAAAGAGACAAAGAGAAGTATGAAGAAGGCTGGAATTTTTTTTTCTTTGCCTTACTTATTTGTTTGTAAGGCAGAGTAACAGAGAGACAGAGGGACACAGCAAGAGAGTGAGACAGATAGACAGGTCTGCAGGCTCACTCCCCACACTTACACAGCAGCCAGGGCTGGACCAGACCACAGCCACACGTCTGGAACTCTGTTTAGATCTTCCACATGAGAGGCAAGGGCCTGAGCATTTGCATCAAGTCCTGTTCCTTCCCAGACACTTTAGCAGGGAGCTGGATGGGAGTCAGAGCATGCAGAACTCAATCCAGCACTGCTGCCAGGCATTGTAGATTTAACCTTAGGGTCAACGCTGACCAAAGGAAATTGGATCCTCTTAATGACAGTTTCAGCATCCATAAACTGTTCACTTATTCAGCTAACATTCTTAGACACCAATAGTGTGCTGTGTACTAAGACCACTCATACAGTTCCTCCTTCAGGAGACAGATAAGTCATCTCATCTCAGTGTAGTAGAAACTATGGCCGAGATGTAAACCAGGAGAAATGGAGGAGATTATCTCATCCCAGAGGCAAGTGGTCAGCAAATGCTTTCAGAAGAGACTGAGCCTCAGGCAGCGAAAAGACTTGGTAAAGAGTTTTGCCATTTGGAAAACATCAGGTAATGCAGTCTGGCAAGAACTTGAATGTCAGGTGGGACTCTGGGAGACAGGAAGCTGCAGGGATAGTAGGAGGATAGGTCTTTGAGGACTGCCTGTATCCTGCTGCGGGCTTTGGAAGGAAGTGGGAAGCATTGAAAGATCATGGATGTATTGATATAGAGATATAAGAATGTTAGGAAATAAGGATGTATCAATGACATATTTTAGAAAGTTCACTCCAGTGATACACTGAAAGAGTGGAGGGAAGTAAAACTGAAGGAAAGAAATTCAATTATCCAGGAAATAAATGAGTGAGGGCATAATTGGAAGACTTGAAAATAAGGGACGAGGAGAGAGATTAGGGGATAATTCACGTGACCAGCAGAAGGACTTTGTGCCTGATTGGATAGGAAGTAGATAATGAGCTTTGAGTCCATGACAGCTTTCAGCTTTCTGGCCGCCTTTGGATTGATTGGGTCCATTACTTCTGAAAGGGATTGACCACCCCATGGAGAGCTCAGAGTAATCCAGTGAATTAGAAGGAATGATAGCAGAGTTCCATTGGCACTTCTCCCAGTATTTTAGTCTCTGTTTGTATGTGTCCTGGACAGTAAGCGGTACATTGATAAACCAGTTTTTATATGCAATTTCAAAGAAATGAATGTCAATCTCTAAGGGGCCGTCCCCAAATTCAGAGACTGCATAATAGAAAAAACTACACGTGTGATTTTCAGAATTTTTTTTAACCAAAATAAAGTTATCTCTTAATTCCATTTTTGCATGAATTTTTAAATGCTCTCCCTCTATAGGACATGGACAATATTTTATTATCATGGATCTATTTCTTTAAAGGCTTGTAAACTGTAGAGAGAAGGAAGGACAAAACTGAAAGTTCTTGGGAATTGGAAGAGCCTGAAGAATATGGTGGAAATTTTCAGTGGGTAATAATGGGATGTAGACCCATGAAGGACTATCCAAAATAGCTTTCTGTGGGCATAGAAATATTTTAAATATACACCATCCAATATGAAACCAGCAGGTACTTATGAAACCAATATCATAGGAAATAAGGGTAACTTTTTAATTTGATTCCAAATGTATGGAAGTCATTTTGAAAACTCTGGAGCACTTAACATATGCCCAGTACAACAGAACAACTGAAATTTGTTACTTTGTTTCATTTTAATCTATTTAAATTCAAATTGCCGCATGTACATAATAGCTACAGTATTTGCAAGTACATATCTACAATTTGTGGATATCTGTGTCTTGTTTGATGCCTCTTGATAAGCAGTTTATATGCATATGAAAACAGTTCAGTCATCTGGTTATCCCTTGGAGTAGCTAGTGAAAACATAGAAAAGAATAAGTTCTCACTCTAGCCTTATAATGGGTTTTTTACAACTGAGTATCAATTTTGCATTTTCTTTCAGGTGGTTTGCTCTGTTGGAGATTCAAGTATTTATCATTTTAACATTATACAAATATGACTTCATTCTTCTGGACCCGTTACCGAAGCCAGTAAGTAGTGTCAGAATTTTCAATAATATCGGATACCTTTGAATTTGACATAAATGCTAACCTGTTTATTTAAATGAATTTATCAGTTTGAACACTTTTCCCTGAATTTAGCCCCAGGTGTGAGAAAAGAATGTCTAAGGTCTCAAAGTTAACCATCGGTTTTGAATTCAAGTCATACCCCTTCATCCATTTGGAAAGCAATGGCATGGAGGAAAACCAACTCATCAGTAAAAACAGTGAGCAGAAATGACAAGGTCATGATGTTATTACTCTGTCTGATTTTCAGAATACCACATATTAGGTATTCTAATCATTTGACTCCTCTGTGTGTTCATTCCCCTAAATCAATCTTTTTAAAATTTTTTTAAAGATTTATTTGTATTGGAATGACATTTACAGAGAGACGGAGAGACAGAGGAAAGATTGTCCATCCATTGGTTCACTTCCCGAACGGCTGCAGTGGCAACAGCAGAGCTGAGCTGAAGCCAGAAGCTTCTTCCAAGTCTCTTACATTGGTACAGGGTCCCAAGGACTTGGGCCATCCTCTGCTGATTTCCCAGACCTCTTTAAGCAGAGGGCTGGTTTGGAAGTAAAGCAATCAGGACACAAAGCAGCATGCATATGGGATGCCAGCAGGATTCATGTACTGAGCCACCACACCAGCCTCCATCAGTGGTTTTTAAATAGCATAAGTATCAAGATCACTTGGAGAGCTTATTAAACACAGGTTGCTAGGCTGTAAACCTGGAATTCCTGATCCAGTTGTTCTGGGACAGGGCTTCAGAATTTGCATTCTTACAAGTTCTAGGTGATGCTGCTGCTGGCCTTGCTGTTACACTTTGAGGACCAGTATCATAGGAAATAGGTGTAATTTTAATTTGATTCCAAATGTATGGAAGTCATTTTTAAAACTCTGGATAAAAGGTGGTATTTAAACTGAGGCTGAAGCACTGAGGCTACTTACATAGCACTTTATGCTTTGATTGCCTCTTAATACAATAAGGCTAATGTATGGAGAGATAAATAAAACTCTTGGGTGGCCTTACAGTAGAATTATGTAAGTCCCTAAGTGTCACGGGAAATATTGCATTACTCACAATAGGTACATTTCAGCACTTCCCCTTGATTTCTTTTGTATTCCTATTTTTTCTGTTTTTTTTTTTCTTTTACAATGTTTACATAGTTAATTAGGGCATAAAGGTTCAAGAGCTACAGGAAAGTGGGTAAGACTATTTGTACTTCTATTTTGAATGCAATAACTATCAAGCCTGTTTGGACTATCCTAAAATCGTCAAGGCTCAGTAAAAATCATGGTTAAATACTGTAAGCTGCTAAATATAAAAACGAAAATAGACACGAGACAGCTGAATAATACCCTGTAACCATTTTAACGTGTATAGCAGCCAGTCATGCATAAACTAAAATTGAAATGTCCATGAAGTAGTCACAGGATGTGGTTAAGTACTTGTATTTTCTAACATATTGATCACTCAATATCATGTCAATTAACTTCATGATGTAAATTGTTGTTGAAGTTGTGTAGTGGCTTTTCACTTGGAGGGGATGATATTCTGCCAGCTCTAGTTTCAGACCGGGAATGGTCTCCCAATGAACTGTTAAATTTATCTAAACAATAAGATGCCGGACTTTCTACATGATCCATGCCCACAATGAGGGAATCATGACTGGATATGAACTGTACTACTGCAACAATATGGAGGAATTCAGTATGGGGGGAGGGCTTTTGGGAGGGATCAAGAGAATCCCAGAGCTTATGAAACTGTGTCATAAAACAAAATTTAAAAACAAAAAGGTTTATTTATTTTTATTGGAAAGGAGAGACACGAGAGCAAGATCTTTCATCTGGTGGTTCACTCCCCAAGTGGCCTGAACAGCTGGAGCTGAACTAATCTGAAGCCAAAAGCCTCCTCCAGGTCTCCCATGTGGGTGCAGGGTCCAAAGGCTTTGGGCCAAACTTGACTGTTTTCCCAGGCCAGAAGCAGGGACCTGGAAGGGAAATGAAACAGCCAGAGTATGAACCTGCGCCCATATGGGATCCTGGTACGTGCAAGGCGAGGACTTTAGTCAAAGGGACTGCACCAGGCCCAGCATACATTCTTTACATTTTAGAGAAAAAAACAAGTGAATAACCATTGGCTTATGCATTTCATTTTCATTTCTGTTTTCAGAGTTTTCTACACCTGTTGGGTGTCCCTCAGCCAGATGGGCATTGCCGAATCAAATATAAACAAAGAATATGACACCTGCTGAAGCTTTCAAAAGGCCAGAGTTTTCTGCAGAAATGATGCTACCCTGTCGCCTTCCCTGGCAGCACCTGGACCTGTGATCTGCTACAGTATACCACTCTGCTTTCTTTAAGAAAATACTCAAATGGTGTAGGGACTTGGTATCCTCTTGACATCACTGTCAGGCATACAGAAACCTGAATATGTGTTTCATCACAAATATTTAAGTGATAAAAATATTGGGGTTATGCTTCATGCATAACTCTATTAAAACTGTAAAGAGAAATAATGTCATTTAAATAGAAGTCTTAGTACATTAAATTCAGTATAAGAGCAATATACTTAAAAATCAAATCGTGATTTCTAGGACTTTTCTCTTTCTTAATGTGATTCCTAAGTGATATTTGGTATTCTTAAGCTCTATTCATATAATTCTTTATTTTAAACATATATAATGCTGACATGTGAATAAAATACTAATTTTCTAAAACACGTGAGAACGGGGACTGTCTTACCTTGATTCCTGCACTGTTCTGTATCTGGGCCAGCACTTTATCTGTAGGGAATATTTAGTAAATGTGTATTCATTGGCTTATTGGTTTATATTTTAATTAAAGTAGAACCACTCTTTGATGCAAGATGTCTACAATTATACTTTGACATAAGCACTAATTTTCTCATGTATAGAAACACAAATGTGATGGTGTGACAAGGAAAAAAACTGTATCTGAATCTGTTTGTTCTTTAAACTGAAATATTTACCATGAAATCCAGAACTCCCTTCATGTTCAGGGTACATATGTGCCATGTTCACAGCGATGAACAGTAAACAATGATGGGGTTGACCTGATTGTCAGTTAACTGCTGTATGCCTCATGTGTTTCACAGTAAGCTTGGTAGTGCAGGCCTTATTCTGGGGCTTATTTGCTTCCCTGTGCTAGAATTATCCCATGGGTTGATAGTGGTTGCTTTGTAATCTATTTTTTTACCAACAAGCATACAATTCCTTAGGAGGAAACCAGGAACCTTGGGGTACATTAAGTCTTGCGAAAGGACATAGTGATCTTGAAGCTTAGCTGGCAGCTTTTAGTTTAACTAAGCAGGCTCAGTGGTCTGGAGTCTGAACAGGCTGAAGAAAGCAGTTTGGAATCCATGAAAACTGGGGAACTTGTGGGCCACACCTGGCAGATTCAAGAAACTATAGCAGGTGTGCTCTGCGGGAAGTCATGTCCTCCCCAACAGAAGCCCTCCAGGAGGCAGGGTATTGGCTTACCCACTGCAGCTGAATTTGCAGACACACAAAGCTAGTGGTTCCTGCTTCTTGCTTGGTGAAGATAAATGTTAGCTGACAAATCTGTGCACTTTAAAGAAATAATGCAAGCACTGGGGCTCTGTTGACCTTTGGAGTAACGAATAGTAAGAGGAATATGCTTGGAAGTCCCATTTTTCTTCTGATTTCTCTAAACTGGGATTTTATATTTTATAGGAGCAGGATTCATTACCATGTTTTAACTGAGAGTTTCTTCCAAGCAGAGGCTGAATCAAGGATTTGTGTGTGCTGAGAAGCGAGGTGCTTCCAGGCAATAGAAATGAGGGATGAAGAAAAATAAGCCAGTATTGGGGTTGTGTTTTCAAGGTGAGTGTTATAGCATTGGGGTTCAGTTTCACTGAGAAACATAGACAGTTGTCCACCTTAAAGGCAGAAGGCAGAAGCAATTATTGTCTGTTTCCTTTTCTCAACCGATTAATGATCACTCCAGAGATGTTAGCCCTACACCTGCAAGCTACATCTATATGTGGACTAAACAGATTTTCATGGAGTTAGGAAGGCTCTAGGGCTGTCAGCATGATGTGACTCTTAGGTTGCACAGAGCTGTTGAGTTCTAGGAGATCAGAGTTGGAATTATGGCATGTCATATCAGGCAGCACAAGCATCAGATACCCTCCACTCCTTGCGTGACCCAGATCTGTTCATGTTCCATGTGAAGTCAAACACACCACATGGTTTTTAACATGGTGCTGGCCACAGTCCCGCTGAAGACCTTAGACTGTTTGAGAAGCTGTTGTCCTCACAGCTAAAATTGGATCTAAAGTCATAGTGATTATTCATCTCATACCACCAACTTATCCTATGTTTAGTAACTGAAGCAGCATTTAAAGTGATCTGGATTGCTTGCCTGGTGAACTGAATGAGTCCTTATGCTAAGAATCTAAGACTAATGGCTTTGCTTTTGTCAAGCTATGGTGAAAGCACTAAGAGCCACTCCAAAAAATTCTCTTTGCTTCAGAAACACCTCTCCATCTCTCTTAGGTATAGCAACAAGTGTACCTCCTGATGATGAGCAAAGTTCACTCCTCCACCACAGCAGTAATTCCCCTGTGTTTGTGGTCTAGCAGCACGAGCCATCCCCAAGCCCTGAGAACTACATGTAACTTCTGATTCCGTGGAGACCTTACTGTGGCACTTGTAAGAAGCCTTTGTCCCATCAGGACCAGGGATCCTAACCCAGCAAAGCTGAGGGTTCGGGTAAAGGAAGTGTACATTCCCTGATTGGCTTCTGAGAATCAGTTGTCCAAAAGGTCAATCACATGTGAATCCCTGCGTTTCCAGACCCATGCATACTACCTCTTGGGGACACTCTATCTGATGTGGGCAATGCTGGTCGTTGGATTGGCTAGACTGAATGCATCCTTCATCCCAAGGAGTTGAATCCCAACCCCACAGATACCCATAAGAAAGCATTTTGGTTGTGATATAGGTTTTTTATCATTGCTATAAGGAGCCACCTGAGGTTGAATATAAATAAATACAGAAATGAAGTTTATTTAGCCCACAATTATTGATGTTCAAGGTATTGGCATTGAGAGCTCTGGTGACAACTCCATGGTTGATGGCATCATGAGAGTATGAGCACAAGCAACAGGGAAATGATAGTTAAGAGCTCAGATAATTGCTCCGGAAAGATTTCTGAAATTGGAGCTAAATGGATTGAGAGCTCAGATATAGAAATGAACTGTGGGCAAAAAGCAGGACAAGCACATTCTCCATGCTTCCAGAAGCAAAGAGGAAAACATCAGGGTAGTGGCAGAGGCAGGAAACTGAGAAAATTTTTATTTAATGGATTTTACTTATTTTTTCTGTGAGGTGGAAGGTGAGCTGTGTTTCTGTTGTTCTGAGAGGGAGAGTATGGAAAAATGGAGCCAGTAGAGAGGGAAAAGGGGATTTTTCTTAACAAGCCAGCATTATGAAAGTGGGAAAAAAATCAGACCATGGAAATAGAGTATACACAGCACTGGGAATCTAGCTGAGTTTGGACACCAACACTTTCTCAGAACTCTTTGTCATTCATAATAGGCTACATTTCTGTAACAGCTCATGGAAATCAGTAACTAGCACAGTTATCTCTTTGGCATGCCACATTGTCCATCTCAGGTGGACAGAAGCTCTACTGTAAGGGTTGTTATTTCATGAGCTTCTGCCAATTGAGGCCATCAGCGGCCAACTCAGTCATGCCTATCTTCAGGGGTGGAAAAAAAGAAATTCAGAATATCTAAGATCTGAACCAAAAAAAAAAAAAAAAAAAGAAAGTTTTGTGTTTGAATTCTCTAGGAACATTCATTAACTGACAGCAAGAGATAGACGAGATAGATAATGTACAATGAAATTTTAACCAACAGATGAATGTGTAAAGAGATAAATATGACTGAAGACGGACTGAGGGATATCAGAGAAGATAAGACAGAAAAAGGTGGAGAAGAAGAATCAATCAGGTGTGTTTTCTATGAGGCTGAAAAATAAGTGTAGTGGGAACCAATGAGGAAGAAACCGGGAGGGTAGAAGATTGTGCCTCGGGGATGGATTGTCTGAAAATGAAATTTCACAGGACAATTACATGTTCAAAGTGAGGATATAAGGGGAGACTGAAGTGGTGCTTAAATGAAGAGGTAAAATTCTGAATGTTGTTTGGGTGATATTTTATATGAACGCACCTATATGCAGAACATCTGCAGGGAGGTAACCACTAAGGCATTGAAAATAACAGAAGGTAAATGTCCTTATCCTTGTTCAAGGAAGAGAAATGGGGACAGACATAATTTGATTCTAATGTGGCAACCTGAAACAGATAAGAATTTGTGTACTGACTGTCAGGAATGCAGAAGTAAGCAGTGATGCCTTTGGAAACTTGAAGTTAAATAAATCAGGATGGGGGAGCAATTAAAACTTAGGCAACGGCCTGCTGAAATGTAGGTATAAGCGTCAGTGTGGAGCTTGGACTCACTTACAGGTAAATTGTTTGCAGTGTGAGAAAAAGAGATAATCCTCCACAGCTGCTTAACTTTCAAGGTGAAATCCTGGCTGTATGCTCCGATTTAACTGTAAAAGAGGGCTTTGGACAGCATTTGGAAATGAGGCCCAGGTGAGTGACCTGCTACGTGGGCCCCTCCTCTGAGGCAAGCTGTGCAAGAGCCTGCGGTTGTCTCTAGAAGCGGACACAACATACTGCCTTCGCCAACAGTATCTTTTGTTTTCTACATTGTTGGAGTTTTGTAGTTAGTTTTAAAATTTAATTTTGGGGTATTTTTAAAAATAGCCTTAGGTTGTTATTAACAAGATGACAACTTTGAAAAAAAAAGTTTCTTAGTTTTATTTGAAAGGCAGATATATAGGAAGAAGATGAGAGAGAAAAGTCTTTCATCTGCTGGTTCATTCTCCAGATGGCCACAGTGGCCAGAGATGAGCTGATCTGAAGGCAGGAGCCAGGAGCTTCTTCCACGTGGGAACAAGGTCCCAAGAATTTGCATTATCCTCCACTGCTTTCCCAGGCCACAGTCAGAGACCTGCATTGGAAATGGAGCAACTGAGATGAACCCATATGGGATGCCTGCACCACAGGGAGAATTAGCCTTTTAAGTCGCCTGCAAGCACAACTTTACTGACTTTTTAAACTTCTTATTTCTTGAGCAGTAACTGTGTGCCTTACACTTAGCCCATGGCATGCATCTACTTTTGTAATCCTCAGGATGACACCGTAAGGTAAGTTTACTTCTATTATTACCTCTGTTTTATTCATTTCTATTTGATAACAGACACAGAAACAGAGCAAGCTTCTGTCTACTGGTTCACTTCCCAAATTACCTACAATAGCTGTGGCTAGGCCAGGACCAGGTGATGCAACTCTAGACTCCTGCATGAGTGGATGGAATCCAATTTCGTGAGTCATCTGTGCTGCTTCCCAGGTGTGTATTGTTAAAAAGTAGAATTGAGAGTGGATGCATGACCCAACTTAAGCATTTCTGATATTGGAAGTGCCCGTGACTATTCCTATTTTATTTTTTTTTAAAGATTTATTTTTATTATTATTTTTTATTGGAAAGGCGGATATACAGAGAGGAGAGACAGAGAGGAAGGTCTTCCGTCCGATGATTCTCTCCCCAAGTGAGCGCAACGGCCCATGCTATGCCGATCCGAAGCCAGGAGCCTCTTCCGGG